TAATTTAGTCTTAGGGATAAAGTGCTTGCCCAAGAGCACTTACCCGAAGGTAAGTGCTTACTGTAGGGTAAGTGGCAGAGCTGGGAAACGAACTCAGGATTCTCTGCTTTAGGAACTCAAGCTCCTAATCACTATGCTAAGCCACCCGTTCCACAGGAAAGCTGTTTGTTTGTTTTGTTTTGTTTTGTTTTTTTGTCTTTTTTCCGTGTCCGGCAACGGATCACAACCCTCAGTGTTGCCCCCGTACCGGACCGGGGACCGGCAACGGGATTGCAACCCTTGGTGTTGCTCCCGCGCCTCGCTCAGCCAGTGAGCGGGAACCGGTCCGTATGTGGGATCCGAACCCTCGGGCGGGAGCGCCGCCGCGCTTCCCAAGCGGCACACTATCCAGTGCACCACCGGGCCGGCCCCTGTTTGTTTGTTTTTAAAAGATAGAAGCAAAAGCCTTTCTCCCTCTCCTGAATCTCATCCGTGGGTAGCATCCTCTCCCTGTTACCCCAAGTCTTTTCTAGAGCATCACTGTGGATCACAGACGAGCTACCAGCCTGTCTTGGGTCCTGCCACTCTTTCTTGTTCCTTTTCTCCTAAGCAGTAAGCCCATGTGCCCTGGATAAAGGAAGAGGGCTGGCGGGATTCTGGCTGGGCTCTGTGAGGCACAAGGAAGCCACATGCCCCCTCAGCCTCAAGTCCCCTTTCGGGGAAATGAGGACACGGGCGAGAGCCCCAGCTTCCTTCTGAAGTGGGGCAGGTTTTAAACACACAGATGCCGCATCTCACCACATGTCCGTTCATTCAGACGCTTTTGGGTGAGGCCTGGCGTGTGGACCCTCAAAATACCCCTGGGTGGTTCTGATGCCCCCTTGGTTAAGAAGCCCTGGGTAAAATGACCTTTTAAATAATATATCATTTTTGAAATAATTTTAAATATACACACAATTATAAGAATAGTACAAAGAATTCCTGCATATTCTTCACTCAGAGTCTCCAATTTGTTGACATTTTACCACATAGGCACCCACGTGCTCTCTCTCTCGAGATGTGTTTTAATGATATGTATGTGATTTATGTACAGACAGTATCTGTGAAAGTTTTTTCTGAACCATTTGGGAGTAAGTTGCAGGCACGATACACCTTTATCCCTCAATACTTTAGTGTGTGCTTCCTACGAACACAGACATTCTCTTAACATAATCACAGTACAGGGCATAAGCATTGATACAATACTATTATTTAAGCTACGTACCTTACATTTCACCAGTTTTCCCAATAATATTCTTGATAGCCAAAAAATAAATAAATAAATTCTGGCTGTGATCCTGGTCTAACCGAAGATCACATGTTGCATTTAGTATCAGTCATTTTTCCTGGCTGTTTGAATTAATGCCTATTTATGCCCTTGACTCATTCTGCCACTTTTTGGCTGTGTGACCCTGGGTAAGTGGCTTAGCCACACTGTGCCTTGGTCTCCGTATTTGTCAAGTGGGGAACAGAAGCCTGCCGAGGGGTCGATGAGGAGTCAATGTGAACGAGTGTAACGGGCTTAGAGCAGCACCTGGTCTGCAGTGAAATCGTTATGTTCTGGGGATTAATCTTTTCTTATACATGATGCAGGTAGCCTCTCACTTGTCTTTATTTGTTCATGGTTTCTTTTGTTACGTAGAACTTTTAAGGTTTGATGTCATTTTGACATAGCTTAGAATTTGAATTTCGCATTTTAATCAACTTGGAATGTGTTTTCTGTGGATAGTGTAATCTAGAGATCTAAAGAAATTCGTCCTCACTGGCTGCGCCGTTGCCTGTTTTCCTCTCCTCACGGCCCCTGCCGAGGGCACACGCTTCCTCCCGCAGCCACACCATCTGCACCTCTCCTTGCAATCCTGCCACTTGACACGTCTTACCTCTCCTAGGAGGGGACGCACTGTGTTGTGGGTCCCTTACAGAAGGCATTGAGGAAACGGCTTTAGTTTGGGGGATATAAAGTTAAAGGTGACCTTTGACAAAGCAGAGCAGGCTCCTGGGAGCTTGAAACTGCTCTCGGAAGCCTACCGGGGGGGCCAAGTTTGCACATGTGCATGAAGCCTCGGCCTCCTCTACACATGCTTGTCAGGAGGTCCCCCCCGTCCGCCCAGGGACCATGCTGATCCCAGGAGGAGAAGAGCCCACCCACAAGTCACTGTCCTGTGGAATGTCATGTCAGTACAATGCAGCTGGGGTTGAAGTGTTTGGGATGCCTGGATGGGGAGAAGAATTTTTTTTTTTCTGAGAGGCCATCCTAAGGTGGGACGAGGGGTGCGTGCATGCACAGTCTCTTCCCCAGCCACTAGTCACAGTATGCCTTGGCTGTCCCCAACCTGCCAGCCAGGCTCCAACCAAGAAAGGAGATACCACTCTAGTATATAAAGCAAAGAGATTGTTTTTACAGTAGTTTAAACACTGTATGTACATACAGATATATGTGTGTGTATATATATTATTCCAAAAGTGTGTATACATATATGTGTGCATATACTTGTATGTATATATGTAAATGTAAACATTATATATTACTTTTTGTTTTGAAATTATTTTGCACTTATAGCCAAAGTGCAAAAATAGTACACAGTGTTCCCATATACCTGTTACTCAGCTTCCCCTAATACGGGCATCTTATATAACCGTAGTACAATGATCGAACCAAGAAATTAACAGGGGTACAATGCTCTTAACTAGAGACTTTATTCAGATTTCACCAGTTTTTCCACTAATGTCCTTTTTCTGTTCCAAGATCCAAATTTGCATTTAATTGTCATGTCTCCTCCTCCGATCTGTGATACTTTCTTTGTCTTTTCTTTTACAACCTTGACACTTTTGAAGAGCACTAGTCACTGATTTTGCAGAAAGCTTGTTAATTTGGGTTGTCCGATATTATCTCATGATTGCATTGAGGATGTGCATTATGGCAAGAATATCTCAGAAGTGATATGCCCTTCTCAGCACATCTTGTTGAGAGTCTTGATATGTTTTGTTACTGGTGACATTAACCTTGATCATTTGGTTAAAGTGGTATTTGATGGGTTTCTCATTTTTCCCCTTTCTCCCTTGCATGTAATAAATCTCAGGGGAGATAATCTGATACTGCAATTATCCAAACAGAGGAAATTGGTTACCCAGAGCTGAGAAGCTGAACAACCCAGAGATTAGCAACTGCAGGTAGATAATATCACTCTTGACCTAGGGCACAAAAGAAGGAGATGGTGTGGCCAGAGTCCAGGGTCAGGGTCATGCACAGAAACCTATCTGGTGAGGGCTGGAGCCACGGAGGAGACACAGTCACTGCTGGTAATGCTACCTGAGGCACTGAGAGAGAAGGGAGAAAAGCCCTGGATTTTCCCCTCTGCCTGTCTCTCACTAGCCAGCCAGAAGCCAGCTGACACAGGAGCCTGGGAATCTCAGTCCACAGGGATCAGCCCCTCTGCAGCATGGAGCAAGGATGGGCAAGGAGGGAGCCCGATGCCTTTGCCATTTCTCTGGAGCTGTGCTGTCCAGTGTGGGAGCCAAAGCCAAATGTGCCTCTTGAGTACTTGAAATGTGGCTCGCTCAAACCAAGACAGGCTCTGAGGGGGTTTCTAAAACTTAGCATGGAAAGAAGAATGTAAAATATCTCATTAATAATTTTTTATATAATCTGTTGAAGTGATAATAATTTGGAGATATTGGGTTAAATAAAATATATTATTTAATTTAATTTTGCCTGTTTCTTTTTAAAAATCTGGCTACTAGGAAATTTAAAATTATGGCTGTGACTTCTGTTTGTGGTTCTCACTTCGTTTCTGTTGGACAGCACTGCTCTGGAGTACACTTGTACCCAGCCTTTGTCATCAGCATTGTAATAATACATCTTTCCTGGACAAAGGTCATGCCTTTGACCCACTGTCAGAAGGGTGTGCCCAGCCAAGGTTATAGAAAACCAGGACTGCCGTGGCCTGGAGCTATCCACATTCACTCACCGTTTTGACCAGTGTGTCAAACATATAGAGACTGGGCTTCCCTCTGCTTTTTGCGTATCACACAGAGTGTAGGTTAAGGCCAATGTCCAGCAACATTAGCCCAAGAGGCTAGCAGACACTGAATACAATAATAAAAACACCACTGAATAGCTAGATAGAGCCCAGCAGAGGAAGAGCTATACTGTTACTGCTACTTTATATCTATACGGTGTTTTTATAGCCTATAAATGTCCTTGAAGAGTCACCCGACATGGCTGTCCCCATTTTACAGATGGCAAAACAAAGCCTGGGAGATCACATGGTTTTCAGTGTCTCTTGAGCTTCTGGCATGTCACTTGGGAAGCTTGTCAAAATGCTGATCCCCAGGACCCCACCCCACAGAGTCTGATTGGGTGGGAGAGGGTGGGCTCCAGGGACCTCTGTAGGGAAGATTTTGGGGACTGTCACACAGATGGTTGTCACACCATATTTGGGGCCACACCAGCCCTCCAGGCTTTCAGGAGGTGAGTGGTGGGGCTGGGCTCAAGCTGGGCTTCTCATGGCCAGTCCATCCCCGGTGCCAGGTCCATCATCTTTTGGAGCTGGGTATACAGGAAGCGCTACACCGACGTGCCTCATCTCCAGCTCCAGCCACACCTGTTGACATGGTAGAGGGCTAGTGTGGCTGAGGCCAGGTAATGGGGTAATGGTTGTCCAAAACCCTGAATAACCAGTGCCATGTCTGGTTCACTTTGGAATGTAGCTAGATCTTCACCACTTTGGTGACTTAGGTGGAAGGAAATGAGTTTGCCATCCCCAAGCATACACCAAACTGTCACCTTGATGTGGAGTTTGGAGATGCCAACTTGGGCCTGGGGGTGGGGAACCATTGCCATTGAAAATGACCCAGTAGGATTTTATACTGGTGCTGCCACAGAAGTGCAGGGTCATGCCAGGGGGAGCAGGGGGCCCGGGGCAGAGTGAGGATGAGCCTGTCTGTGCTGCCGTCACTGATCGTTCCTTTCTGCCCTACAGTGGACAGCGGACTGCAGCGAGCAGCTCGATGGCAGCTGCTCCTTCTCCCGAGGGCGAGCCCCTCCACAGCAGGTAGGGAGCCAGCTCCATGCTCCATCTGGGGGGTGTCGTGTGTCTCGTTTGTCTGGGTTTCTGGGCCGGCCCATGATGGCTCCTGAGGCGGGGATGTGAGGAGAGCAGGAAGGTGGGGAGGGGAGGATGTGGTCTGCCCCTCTGGAAAGCCCTTCCTTAATTTCCTGTCCACAGTGAAGTGCCCCTCCCTGAACATACTGACTCATGAGCTTCCTTTCCAGTTGCAGCAGTAGATATAATAACAAACATCAGGAAACAGCGCAAATGTCCACTGAGAGGAGAATGGAGGAATGCTTTGTGATATGTCCTGACGGTGGAACATTATATGGCAGTCAAGTGACTGCACTGGAGATTCGTGCGTTCATGCAAACAACGGGACACACAGGACTTTGGTGCTGGGGCTTCTTCTGCTCCAGGTCTGCAGAGGGCCTGAAAGGACAGTGTGTGTTGGGCGCTGTCAAAGACCTATCCATCTCCCCTGGCCACCAACTGTCCTGGGATTAGGCTGAAGCTTACTGCTTCTCTCTGCTGCTTGTGTGGGGTCCTGAGGGGCTCCGTATACATTGTGTGACTAGGAGGAAAAGGAGGCAGCTGTTCTTTGGTGACTCGCAGGCCCCCCATATACCCTCTGGTTGTCCAGCTGTTCTTGCTGACACCTCGTCCCTGGATTGGAGGCTGAAAAAGACCATTTGTCCCCAGCCCCCAGCTCAGACTGCTCCTATCCAGAGAGACAGGGGAGCCTCTGCAGGCTCATGCAGCGAGCTGCTCCGATTCCACAGCTGCTGCAGTGTCCATCTTCGGTTCCTTGCACTGTTCAGTCCCTTGCACCCTTCTCTGTTCTGTCCTGAGAGAGGATGCTCAGTGGCCTCAGTTCTGGATCTTTCATAGGCTGCAGGACCCTGCTACTCCATGGTGTGGGGCAACAGTGGCCCTGGATAGTTCTCTCACGTCACAAAATTTATGTGTGTGTGTGTGTTTAATTGTTTCTTAAGAAGGAGGCCACCATAAGAGCCCTGGAATGGGGGTGAGGCACGAGACCCGGGTTCTCAGTTTTGCTCGTTTAGTGTTAAACAGCCACAGGCTTGGTGGCAGGTTCTTCTTCCTCAGGTCTCAACTTCCTCATAAAAACCAGGAGACTGGATGGCCTCTGAGGGTCCTTCTAACAGATCCATGCCATTTTCAGATGAGGAAACTCATGCCCACAGTGGTGTAATGGCCTGACCCAGCTGGGGCTTGAGCCCAGGTCTCTCGTGTGCCCCTTCTGCTGCATGGCACTTTTACCTTACCCGACTGCAGGAGGTGCCCTTCTGGGGAGGTCTTTTGTCTCTGCCACCTCCCCTGTGATTCTCCCTGAACATCCCCTGCCCCAGATCTTGCCCTAAGGCCTTGCACATTAGCAGCAGTGTCTCCAGTTTCTGCCAGTTATTCTGGGGTTTCCTATATGAAGATTCTCTTAACTCTGCAGCAGCAAAGGTGGACTTGGATGTGGGGACTCAAGCACCAGAGAGGGGTTCCAGGGAAGGCTAGAGGTTCCTGGATGGGGTACATAAGAGGCTGGTCAACTGGAACTCTGTTACTTGGTCAACAGATGTCTGGTTCTGGAATCTTCCAATGTAGGGTTCTTTTTCTCTCCCCTTATCACCTTTTCTGGCCCCCTCTCCCTGCCCTTTCCCTCTGGTGCCATTCTCCCATCACTCCCCAGGGGCTGAGATGGCTCCTCCTCTCCTCACCCTTCATCTGCCTCCCCTTCCTTGAGCTGTCCTTTCTCAGCCTGTTTCCCCCACCTAGAGGAGGGTGCATGGGGCATTGGCCAGACAACGCAGGTTGATGGAGCGCGGTTGGGGGCATGTGGGGAGGGCTGCCTCCCAGAAGGGGTTAGGTGTGGGCTCTTCCATGCCCTGAGCACCTGGGCACTGTGAGGACCAGCTGGACCTATCCTATCTTCAGGAAGCAGCTGAACAGTCAGCCTGGGTTAAGCAGGACCCAACAAAATGAAATATAACTGAATTTAAAGATGAAATTGTAAAATGTATATGTTAGGTCCTTTCTTGGCAGGTAGACTGAGATACAGTTTCATCTAGGCAGGTGGAGATGGGGTCTCTGAATATAAACTCACCTAGTTGCCTGATGTGCCAGAGACAAGGGCTCCTTGGGAGGGGCTTCCTGCAGGCCATGGGGCCATGGGCATTACCATCTTACCCCCTGACCTGTCATGTCCATCTCATCATCTCAGTGGGAGGAAAGGAGGGACGTCTGCTGCCGAGAAGTGCAGGAGTGGCCAGAGCACTGAGACGCCGCAGCCACAGCCTGGTGCCTTGTGAGTCTTAGATGCAGAGCCTGCAGTGTCCTCATGTGGAGGGCCAGCTGGGACAAAAGGAAAGCCTGCGTGGGAATGCCGGTCTGCCTGACACTGGTGTGGGTCACACCCCCTGTGCTCTGTGAAGCTTCTTAGAGCCAAGGAAACCTCTGCAGGCTGGAGAGTTCAGGGTGTTTACAGGCGGCATTCCATGGAGGTTTATCAACTGGGAGTGTTTACAGAGGCTTGGCACTAAGACGTGGGTGGGCCTGAAGCCATGGCCCTGCCTCCAGGGGCCTTGCCACTTAGGTAGAAGGATAAGACCTAGGTGTAAAGTAATGCCAGGAGCAGGAGAGGCAGTGTCCACAGGGTAGCCCAGTGTTCGGACCTGGCAGGCTGTGCACAGGAGATGGGATGGAGCTGTGCCTCCTGGGTGGAAGGCCAAGGTTTGGCCCTGGGCACTGTGCAACTTTCTGCACAGAGAGGAGGGAGTCACTGTTGGCCTGAATTTCAACGTCTCCTGAGGTCAGGAGCCTCTTGGTTCAGTGAAGAAAGGCCTGATGTTTAGACACCAGGGACTGAATTAATTAGGTAACAATGGGGTGATAACAAGATGGAGTTTATTTCTCTCTTGGCCACCAGCCTGGCTGGGTGTTCAGGGCTGGCATGGCAGCTCAACAGCATCAGACAGGCTCCTTCTCACTGCTCTGCCCTTTCTAGGGTGTCGCCTTTGTCCACATGGCCCCTGGTGGCTCATGCCCACGTCCATGCCCCTGCCAGTGGAGCACCCACCCTGCTTCTCATCCTCTGGAACCTCTGACCTCCCCTCGTGAAGCAGCCACCTCCTGGTGCCCTCTAGTGGAAGGATCAAAGCTGGAAAGCCCCACAAAGCTGGCCTGTGGCATCTACCCCTGCCACACCTATCCTACAGGGGCTCTCTGATGGAGGGGCACCAGGGAGCCACGGCTAGAGAGTGCATTTGCTGGGTGCAGCTCTGGTGGAAGGCTGCTGGCCCATGCATCCTTCAAGGCTCCCTTCATCCTGGCCACCAGAGGCAAGAGCACAGGATGAACTCTTGGGACACTCCATGAGCACACCCACCCTATGAGCACACCCAGCTGGCCTCCTCATGCACCCTCTCGGCCAGGCATGCTCCTCACACTGAGTCATGCTGAAGTCAAGCTGTTCCATATCCAGCTGCCTGTGCCCACAGCCAGCTGGTCAGCCCTCAGATGGGACCGGGGGCTGGCTCTGCATCCCCAGCCACCGTGCCTAGGGCCTTGCACACAGTAGGCACTCAATAGTGGTGCCTGTGACTGCACTGAGTTGGCGCAGGCCCTGTCCATACAGTTATTCCCTAGCGGTCCCTTTTCTTCTGGCCACACCAACTTTGATGAACTTTCTGGGGCTGTTGGGATGATGCAGGAATTTTACTAACCCACATTCATCCATGGAGGAGAATTAGTTTCAGGGGAAAACAGGCTAAATCGAGATGGGATGGCTGGCTGCTCTGGCACTGCCCCTGACTGCCCCACCCTGGCCACACATGCCCAGGAAAGCAGAAATTGGCTGGAGGATGCTGAGGTTCTGCGTTCTGCCCAGGAAGCGCTGTGCAGGGGTCACAGACATGCCCTGGACCAGGGGCCCAGGTGCAGGCACTTTTTGGGGATTAGTCATGCACTGGGATTATTTATTTATCCACAGCAGGCTTCCATCCTCATTCTGTCTGTTTATGTCCACTAATGTCAAAAAACCCTTGCTTTCTCTGAACCCTTTCAGAGGCACAAAGTGAGGGCAACCTTAGGTAGGTTGAGTCCCACGAGGTAGGAGGAAGGGGGCCCAGAGAGTCCAGAACAAATAAACGGGCTCCAGATAGTCCAAAGAGGCCCAACCAGCTGTCGGCAATTGGGACTCAGCTGTATTTGGGATTGTTTGGCATCCTGGCATCCTCTTTCCAGGAGAACTATCACCTAGTCATTCGGTTAGGATGTTGGAGTAGTTTCCAGCTTTTCATTGCAATGAGGGAAATGCATGGAGAGGGTTGAGAGGAAAGCACCTGAAATGAGAGTGCAACAAACTTTTCGAGGCGCAGGCATGGCATGTGGAATTCAAGAGAGAAGCTGAAGGCATGTGAGGGTCGTGTGGGGTCAGGAGTGAGCAGCTCTTCTGCATCCACACAGAAGTGCCAAGGAAAGGAAATCAATTGTGCACCGCAGCAGCAGCAGAGCCTCCCGTCAGACCTTGTGAAGGACTTCCCAACTGAAGGACTTGTTGGCCCGCAGTACTGGCTCTGGAGCAAGGTGATGAAATCTTTGCTGGGCACACCTCCTTATCAAGTGGGTTTCTGCCAAGCCCTGGGAAAGATGGGGGCTGTGTCACAAATGACAACTCTGAGTCTTGGCTGAGGGTCCATGGTCCCACGTTCCCTGGAACGATAAGTATAGAACACTCCTCTGTTCCATTATGATGCCCAGAGCAAATTGAAGCATTGGGAGAGAGTAAAAGAGCCTTGTCTCATAAGCCAGGAGAACTGGGTGTGGACTTAGTAGAGACACTGACTCCAAGAGATCTCTTCTGCAAAATGAGGTGTCAGGCTACACAGATTTCTTTGAGCATCTCTGGAAATTCCTTTGTTTACATTTTGTGTCTCCATGAAATGCCCAATTGGATCCAAATTACTGCTAAAAGCAGCAACAGTCTGAAT